AGTGGGGGTTGATTATCCGATAAACATTTTATTTTTTTTTTTTTTTTTTTTTTTTTGGAAAATGGCAAATAAGATGAAAAAGAAAAGAACAATAGTTCAAGAAATAAAGTTAGTGTGGCACTAAGTCCCAGAAGGTCCACCAGGTTATTTACAGCACTCAGAGTGGGATTCAGTGGTACAAAACCCCAGAGGCTCATCGTCTGTCACCTTTGAGCTTTACAGCTGATGTGCAAGATAGTTTCATGGCAGCTTGAGACAAACAAAAAATCATTCCAGTGATGAAAATCTGTGTTCTTTGAGTTATTTATTACACTTCAGGTTTGTGCTGCAGCTTTGTTTTGTGTTTTTACAGTTTTTATGTACTGTAACTGGATACTTTCAGGGAGAGTTTTTCATCGAACACATGCTGCTGCGCTGTGCTGCAAATAGATCCAACATGAGGTTATTTTTGCAATATTTTTCCTACCTCTTCTAAAGGGTCAGCAACATTTTCAATGCATTCACTTTTGTCCTTTAAGAGACAGGAGAAAACTAATGTAGCGTTGCGTTTTTATTGATTTAATTCCACAATTCAAGAGAAGCAACACTCTTTTTGTAGTGTTAGTTTTGCAACATCTATGAAATGGATGAACTTCCTCGTGTAATTCAGCTCCAGATGAGTCATTTATTTAATTTAGGTGCGTTGGAGCCGGGATGAATCTAAAATCTGCAGGATAGTGTCTCTCAAGGATTGATCTGAAACATCAGCTTCTCTATTTGGTAACTACATTGTGTTGGTGTGTCACACAAAACATCACTAAAACACACTGAAGTTTTCAGTTTTAAAATGACAAAGTTCAAGAAAACTTATCCAAAGTAGTCATTTTTTTTATTGTGACATATAAAATTAATAATGTTCAGCAGGTGGTTTCATTTATGCTGTTCATGCCTTTGCTGTTTTTATTCTTGTCATTTATTTCGCCCCGTTAGAATATTTAGTAACACTTTGACTGACATGACACTGTCATAAACATGGAATAACACCTGTTATAAACATGAAGGAGTCTTTATGAATGTTTATGACTGATGTCATGAAATGTCAATCGGTAAATAATGAAACTTTTAGTGCAAAGTTGACAATTTTACTGCACTTTTAATGCACGTTTTAGTACAACTTTACGTTAAAACTTCATGACAACAGTCAGACATTCATAAAGACTCCTTCATGTTTATAACAGGTGTTATGGCATGTTTATGACAGTATCATGTCAGTCTTATGCACACCCCTTCAAATAAAGTGTTACAAAATATTTTTCATCAAGTATTGTGGCGTGTTTTTGACATAAAACCAAAAAATACTGATTAAATGACCAAGTACTGTGTTATAATCTCATCTGTTTCCGTTCATTACAATGAGTGATCTACGTAACACAGGAGGCAGGTTCTGCCATTTCAAATGAAACCTGCTTTGATGCGCGACGTCTGCGTGTGTGTCTCAGTAAACAGAAGGCGTGTTTAGGGATGGGCATCAGAAATCTTCCTTCTTTAATCTCCTAAATTAATCTGAACTCGCATGTGGATTTGAAAGCTTATGAATCGGGAGCGCCCGCTGTGAAGGCGGTGCCTTTGACAGGGAACCGCTGTAAACTTTCTGCCTGAGCTGGCAGGACGTCTCCATTTCATCAGGAATTTTTAAGGGTTGTTTTTAGACAAGCCTAATTTCTCCCATTAATGCTGACAAACTCAGATGAGAGCGGCGCTGATTTGCAGCCTCTCTCATTTGAACTGGAAGGCCAGGGGGGTGGCGAAGGCCTGGTCTACTCCTATGAAAGAAAGTAGAGATCACCCTGGGCTCATTAATATTTCGCCAACAATAAGGCGAGGTGTCACTCACGCTCGTCGCCACGGTAATGAGCTCACATTGCCCTCTTAAAAGATCTGTTTACTATGCGGCCGGGTGCTCTGGAGGCTCAGAGACACACTGATGTGTGGAAATCTCTCCCAAGGTCAGAGGCATGCAAATCTTCATAAGGTCGCAGACTGTCTCTCTTCTCACCTGCACGTATCTCAAAAAGGACAGCGGCTCATTTTCATAAATATTACACAACATGTTTTCACTTCGACTCAGGGAATAGGGGATTAACATTTGAAGTGCTGAATCTAATTGCTATCTGTCAGGAGCAAGGTGTGTTTTCATGATTAACTACACATCTGCTAAATATTCCTCCGATTACTGCAGGTGAATTAATCATACAGTCCAGTCAAATGTTATCATTATCAAAGCTCCTCACTCGCTTTTCTTTTTTCTAATCTATGGTGGATGGGATGTGAAATAGGTGCAGGAGAAGGAGGCTCACTTCATGAGGAGATAAGAAGTATGTTGTGCTGCATGTGTGGGGTTCAGATTTCTCCATGTTGAATCATGCATGTTGCATGTAATTTCATTTTCTCTTTTCATTATTTTTATGTAGCTCACCTACTGCAGACAAGTCATGTAGTTAATTAGGCTACCAGATAAAAAAATAAAAAAAACATTTTGGTCCGACTTGAGTTGATCTGCTCCAACTAGTATATAAATAAAATAAAAGTTAACTAGCCAATTAATACAACACACCACCTGAATGTTATGTAAACAGATAAGGAGCGAGGATTTAAAGGAAACACCTTTGTGAAAGTTAGCAGCTCATTAGAGCGAGTGAGGATATTTACAGAAAGCTCGTAATTAATGACTTGTTTGTGTAGCTTCTAATTAAGAGGGGAAGAACATGGCTGCAACTTTGTTCAGTTTAACCAACGTATCCCGTTTGCTGCCGGTACGGCCGCAGGACAGAGACGCTTTGCTTTTATTTAAATTATTTTACTGCTGCGCCTTTTTTTTTTTTTAAATTATTGTTTTCATTTCCCTGCCCTCTGTCAATCCTCCACTCAAAGTGGAAACCTGAAATGTAAAAAGTGATTATGTCACTTTTAAATGATTCAGATCATCGAATAACAGCAAATAAAGTATAGTCTTAGCCAATAAAAAAAAATCCTTTCACAAGTGATAATTTCATGTATGAAGGGATTAAGGCTATCCTGACATTATGTGCAAATGTAATAATAATGTAATCAGATTTCATGGCATCAATTTAATAAAGTTAATAGGAGGAATAAAATTTTTTCTGCCTTGACACCAGTTTCCTGAGCTGCCAGGACAAAATGCTAAATTAAAAAAAAAAAAAAAAGAAAGAAAAACACCAACATGTCATTAAAAACACAGAACAAAAACATCTGCTTTATATATTTTTATTTATATTTAATGCATATTTTAGAATATCTTAATAGCACTGTAAATGTTGCTTTTTATTTAAATTTTATGAGAAGTATTTGAGATTTTTATATAAAGTACAAATGTATCGCTCTGTTATGTACCTGGATGAATAGCTTTTGGAGCAAAATATAAATACAGATATTAAAAAAAAATAATAATAATAATCATTCACTGTATATTTGTATTTGGCACCAAGCAAAGTTACATTTTACTTTGTAACATACATTGTTGGGCTGAAATGTTTCTAGTGAGCTTAGTGTTGCAAATATTAAATATTTTCTGCATCTGGATAAAATGTTAAAATATATAAAAAGGCTACAGGGATAACACTGCATGCTTACATTATCTTTAGAGGTGTAAACAATTTGATGTTTAAAAAAAATTAAGAAATCTTGAAAATTGTTCCACCTGAAATCGTTTAAAGCACATTCAGAAGCGACTTCATGTCGTTAAAACGCGCCTCTGTCAGGACCGAGCCTTCGTTCAGTTTACGGCGTCGTGAAGTTATTTCTTCTCCTCAGACGTTCCTGCGCTCCGGACGTTAACTCCATTCCCGTCAGCTCCGGCAGGAAGCAGGTCAGCGTGCCGACGTCCACTTGCTTCCTTTTCTCCTCTCGTGATCCTCCTCCTCCTAGCGTCCGTCTCTCAGCTCATAAACTGCGTGTAGCCCTCCGCGCCCGTTACTATGACGTCCATCCAGATCCTCATGGCCTCCGCAGACGGGGCCACCATGTAGTAAAGCCGGTCGTGAGTTTTCACACAGAAGGTCAGAGCTGGATTTGGACTCTGGGTCACAACAAGAGGAGATTTTATTTTACTAAAACGCACAAAGACTGTTTTTCATTAATATCCAGAATGTGTATTGGCATCCCTGGTGAAGATCTGTAAATGATTCTTCTCTCATTTGATTTTTTCTTTTTTAAATTCCAACCTTTATGCTGCATGAATTTATTCAGTAGAAGTTAAAAAAAAAAAAAAATCCAACAGTGATAAATTTCCTACATTGTTTAAAATAGATATTCGACCATTAATTAAGTCCTGAATTCGTTCTGATTTAGGGCTTCTGTCTGGGGACTGAAATGGAAGAAGAGTGATTTTGTTTGGTGAATCATTAATCTACTAAAAGGTCAACCTGGCCACCAAATATTTGTAAATTAACAAAAGTGGTTTTGTCATTTTAAAGAGTTTCTAGTGAAATGCAGTCTAACAAACTGGCCCGTAGCATCACGGATCCTCCTCTGTATTCAGCCTCCATTTTCCCACCAGTTGCAGCGTTTGCTGCTGAAAATCTCACCAGCCTGGATCTCATCGAACCGGATCCAGTCAAAGTCCAGATTGTTTTCATAGTACGGTTAAGGATGACGATATTTGTTCAACCAGCAATTTTGTTAAAACAAATAATCCTTAAAGTGACATATTTCACACAACTTTCATGACATTTTTGTCCTAAAAGGTTTTCTCTTTGTCTAATTATTTGTACAATTTGACTCAAAAAGAATTGGTTAAAATCAAACAAATCTGAAGCTTAAAGATTTCATCTGCTTAAAAAAGGACACCAACATTTTTTTTTTTTATCTATCCCATTTCTCACAAACCGTTGAATTTGTAAAGAAGTAAAATTCAGGCAAAACGTCTGAATTTAGAAAAGTATTTATGACAGAGGAGCGTTTACCTTGGCGGCGCTGCGCAGGTGATCATAGTAAACCTCTTCAATGGCCTGGAAGTAAATGAGCCCTTTCAGCTTGGTCTCGTGCTTGTCTGAGACGAGAAAAAGAAAAAATAAATATATTAAGTTACATTACATTACATCTTGTTGCACTGATGCAAGAGCTCTGCCAGACCGAACTCCAAACAGGAGAATCAGCGGGCGACGAGAGGAAACCGTGTTATGATAAGAGGAGGACAGGAAAGCGTTTCTTTTTACCTGCTGAGAACGGTAGAAAATATTACAAACGCCTTAATCTCTACTTAAAAAAAAAAAAACCATACGGCTTTATGAAAAATAACAAATAGAAATATAAATGAGGGGTAAGAAAACTAATAAGGTTTAAATTTAACTATAAGTGGACAGAATTTTTTTTTTTTCTGTTGCTTTTACTTGTTTTTTTGTTTGTGCATTTTAAAATAATTTGAACAGGTTTTAATCAGGCAGATGTTGCTTCTGGTTTGAGTGAAAATAATTTGGGGTTTGAGGACTTTCAGGCTTTGCTGCGAATAAGCAGAAAGATGAACCGAAACTCAAATTAAAGACGGCAAGAACGGACACAAAAACAGAAATGAGGGATAAAAGGTCTTTTCCCCAGCAGCGTCTGATCCATGAATAGGTATGAGCAGAAGTGTATCAGAGCAAAAGTTAATTAGAAGTGTGAGTCTATTTCCAGCTATGCCTCAAGTCTTTGCCATCCTATTAGTCTGACTTGTTTTCTTCAGTTGTACTTTCTGGATCGTCTGCCTTTCTTTCCCCTCCCTCTCTCTCTCTCTGTTGGTGCCTTTTTGCTGATGGCGAGTGTGAAAATTGGCATAAGTGTTAAGAAGAAACTCAACTTTTTTGTACCACATTTGATGTTTTTTTTGTTGAAAAGAATGAGCTTAGAGCAGGTCAGAGGTTCTGTCAGACGTCTGGTCTCAGTTGTTCTTTCACACACAGTCGCTCCACGCCAAAGAGTTTGGGGAGTCGTGTTGCAGCGAAGCCTGACGTCGAAGTTCGTTACTTGTTGTCACTGAGCTGAAGGGCTTCTGTGGTTTTCTGGGCTTTTAAACCTGAAGTGAAATTTCTTCAGAGAAATTCAGCCTTCAGATTTTCTGAACCGTCTCGTCCAAACAATCGGGAGTCGTCCCTTTGACTCTCCTCAAAAGAACGGAGATGGAAACATCCTCCAACAATTAGCGGCAGTCTTTTGAGATGCCTTCCACACTTTGTTCCCACTTTCCCCTCTTCATAAGTCAAATCTGCTTAGTAATGAGATAAATGTTTTTGAAATGCGAGTTTCGTTTTATTAGTCACGAACAAGCCAGGAGCTAGCCTCCACCCTGAGAAAAACACATCCAGAGAAACTATTGCATCTTGTTTCATCACCGTCGTCATCACCATCATCTTCGTCAGGAGTGAGCGGGTGAAAAGGCTAGGCGAGTGAATGGAGAGAGCAGCGAAAGGAGCAGCGGTGTCAGGGATGGAAATGTGCTTGGATTCTGTTTTGAAATTGATTGTAAAATAATGCTTCATATCATGTTTGTGAATTATTCAGAAAACCGCTTTTGTGCCAGATTCTGATGGACGTGAAGAACAAACTGCAGCAGCCTGACTTCGTTTTAAAATGATAAAGGGCGGCGGAGAATAAAACTCCACTTTTTTAATTGAGAAAATGTCTAACGTTGGAGCAAAGTGCAGAATCATTAGAGGACAAGCGGCGCCGTTTTGTGGTGAACAGAACGGGAGAAGCCCACAGGTTAAATCAACGCAAATGACCAGGAACGAACTGAAACGGTGTGTAAAATGAAATCCAACATCAGTAATTTTAGTGAGTCCGGTTAATGCAGAAAGCAAAACACTGGATTCAACGGAAGCTGAAATGTTTAGTCCTTGAAAGCAGAAGGATTTTTAATGATTTTGGAAAGCAGCGTTACCTAACACACAGACGTGCAATTTAAAAACTTTGTAAACATTTTTTTTTTATTACAAATGAGGCGATTTATGCACATCAAACTAAGAATGTTTGCTGCCAGATTCTCTCAATCGATGGTGTTTGACATGAACATCACTGCTGCCTTCAAATGATGCTTAGCAGATCTTATGCAACTTCTTTGCACTTCCACTGTGGCCAGCTTCATTTTTTTTCTTGTCTCAGAATGTGGCACACTTATTTTAAGCAGTGGTTGAAATTTTTCAGGCAATTTTATTAAAAATACACAAAAATAGCATGAAAAGTGAAATAAAATGTGTATTACCAGGGTTTTCAATACAAATTCAACACAAAAATCCCTCCTTCGTTGTGCTAGAATTCTGCAAATCAGGTGTGGTTTCAGACACAGCTGATGCAACCAATCAAATGCTTCGCTGGTTGCATCAGGTGGGCTTGAGACAAAAGCCCAAAATTATTCATACCCCCTGGCAGATTCAGGTTTAAAATAATCTGCATTCAATCAATAAGTTTATCTTAGNAATAAANGAGAGCNATCTNTAAAAATGAAATTAAAAAAATAAAAAGAGTACAGTGACAAATCAGTATCTTAATTGCATCGATTTCACGAGTTTTCACTGGTATTTTATCTTTGGTGATGAAATCAGGGTCATGAATGTTGGATGGCCTTGTTGCCATCACCCTAATCTTTTTTTTTTTTTTGACTAAAAGTTGCTAGGATGGAAAAAGTGAGGTGACTGTTGGACGGGTCCGTCAGTCAGACCCTCTCTGAAACCGAACAGTGGCTGATTTTCAGGGAAGATTATGCCCAAAACCGGTTTCACATGTAAACATAGGCCAAAAACTAAAGAAATCTGGGTCGTTTTATTGGTGCTCTCCTAGCTTGGTGACACAGTATTACTTAAATCAGAAGAAACAAGTTGGTTAAATTAAAAGATTACCATGAACCTAAATCTGCCAGAATATGGACAATCTTTGATTTATCTGTGCATGTTTCGAGTTTAACTTGTGGAATTAACACAGAAAGCAAATGTCTGCTCTCTAAAACGGGTTTTATCCCGATTTACGTCTTCACCTGAACTCCACACTAAAAACTGATGTTAACACATCACCTTCTGCGCTGGGACACAAATAATAATGTAATTCAGCATCATAAACGAAGGAGAACAGATATGTGTGAAGCATTTAAATTATGCCTGATAATTTATTTTCCCTGTAATTGCTCAAAAACTCTACTTTTAAAATGATACCTTGAGTGTTTGTCTAACTTCACCAGCTGATGGAATAGCTGAGTTTGAGATGAAAAACAAATTTTTCCCCCCTATAAAACATATTTAATGTGTCCTCTGTCCTCATAAAATATGTTGAATTTAGTGATTATAATGGGACAAAATGTTGAAAGGTTTTTAGGGGTGGGTACATTCATGCAAAGGACTGCATAAATATTTGCTCATGTTTATAATAATCAATATTAACACAAATCTGGCCCAACTCGTCCTCACCGACGTAATAGCAGAAGTTCCTCTTCAGACGGTCAAAAACGAACCAGCGTTTCTTCCACGATTTGATCTTGCCTCCCATCTTCACCAGGTGGCCTTTGCACATTTTCTCAGTGAGGATGACGAAGGGGCAGGTGTCGATGCAGTGGCCACACGACTCCACGTGGGCGCGCAGGTCGAACTCCTCCTTACGGTTTGGCAGGTAGCGAGTCATTGGACGGGCCTGCGACAGGAAAACGCCACACGTTTCTTACTAAACTATGAAAAGATACTAAATGGTGTTTAAGCAGAAAAAGCCGTCTTACTGTTGGCTGCAGGTTTAATTTCATATTGTCATTCATTTAAATACATTTCAGTAATGGAGACAAATGTAAAAAAAACAAAAAAAATGGATGTTTGCTAGATGAAGTTGTACTCTATCGGTTTTACGCCTCCACACTGTCTGCTTTTGTAAACCTCTCCTTTGCTGCAGGAAACGGCAATCTCATAATTAAAACAACAAATCAATGTGTGTTTCCCCGTCCTAGGGTTAAGGAAGATCAGCCAGATCAATCTCCAACAGTACTGCAGTTGTGTTTTGTGGAAATGCAGCACCAGCAGAGACATAACTGTGGACTTTCATGAAAACGCGCTGAGGGACCGCGTGTTTTTGGATAAAGTCGTAGGGTGCAAACACAGGATAATAAGAATTATTTAAAAAAGGGATAATTGAAACCAAAACACCAGACTGAAGATTTTTATCATTTTGTTTTTGGTAAAAAGAAAAACAATAAATCAGGCAAATGAAAATTATTGAGTTTCTTTTAATCCATCATGCAGTTAAATTGATTTATTGTTTATTGTGACAGGACTAGTGTCGCTTTCGAATGCAGACGCCGCAGCATCTGATGGCTGTTGGACAAACACGGTTTCAACGAGATGGCGCGGTTCTCCAACAGCTTGCAGACTTTATTTTTAACCGTTTCAAGCGGCTTCCTCGCAGACAGCAAAGTAAACTTTTCACTGTAGAAGTGAAAGTGTTTCTACTATGACAAACTGAATTATGCTACTGAGATGTATTCATATTTGTTAGTTTTAAGGCTTTTTGTTCACTTTTATAAAGGCTTGCCAATAGTTTTGGAGGGTAGCGTAGAAACGCTTATGTTGGCATCTTTATGTTTGATTTTTCCATAATTACTGCTGGTAAACAGAGTCCCGATTAAAGCCCAGTGTATGTTATTTGTATCCATTATTTTCCACCCTACCCCTCCTCATTTCTTTTTGTCTTTCCCTCTCTCTCTCTCCCCTCCCCTCGGTCCTTCTCCTTTCTTTGACAATCTTTGATCTTCCTCCCTGTATTGCCTCGCCTCTCATCCTTTCCCCCTCAAGCCTCTCCTACCCCTCCGTCGCCTCCCTCTTCTCTCCCCACCGCTCCACTGACCTGGGAGAAGTGCTTCTCTCTCATCTTCACCTCCTCCTCCACCAGCCTCCGCCTGTGGGCCGACTCGTCCTGAAGCCTCCTCTCGGCCTCCTCTCGCCTCCTCCGCTCCTCCTCCAACATCTGCCGCCGAGCCTGCACCTCCCTCTCCTGGGAGAAGAGAGCGTGGAGAGCAGACCGAGGGGGAGAGACGATAAGAGCGAGACGGGAATATATGTTAATGGCAGGCAAATATTGCGATACAAAGCAGACGACTGTCAGAGGATGCACCTGAGAGTTCAAGTCCCAATCCAGGGTTTTGTAAAACCTATCCCTTTAGTCTGTGTGTGGAAAAGGGGAAGCTTTGCTGACGTAAAATGTTCCTTTGCAGCTTTCAGATACTTACTCAGAGGTCTGCTTTATTTCAGCATTAAAAAAAACTGAAAAAATATTTTATAACTTTATTTCAGAAAGTCTTCTGTTCGCCTTGACGTCTCAGGTAGATTTTAATCTATTGAAGAAGTAAAACAGGAGATTTTCCTTAAACATCTCCGAGTCGCATTTCGTCTACGCTTAAATACTGTGATTTTTATCAAATAGTTTTTACCATTACTTCAGTTTTGTTCCTATTAGTACTTAATGATTTAAATTAATTTTCTTCCACTCATATGATAATATCTCCATCATGAAACATCAGTTATAAATTGAACAAAAAAACTTGTAAAAACGACTAAATACTGATGACAAATGATTGTGTTTTCATGTTTGTGTGCTTGTCAGACGGCAGACTGAGATGCAATGTGTTGATTTTACGTGAAAGCCCTCCAGCTGTAGCGTGGGGAACTCACTCTGTTCTCAATCAGCCTGGCTTTCTCCTGCTGCGCCTCCTTCAACATCTTCTCCATCTCCTCTATCCTCTGGGCCTCCAACCCACAGGCGCTACAAGTCACACAGGGGAAGTTTGCATTGATTACACGGATACGACAAGGCTTCGGATGAGAAGAGGGGGCCGGAGAAGGGGGGGGAGAGGCGAAAAAAGGTAAACAAACACGCCTGGAATCAGAACAGCGGGAGAGCGAGAGCAAGACGCCGACTCTTCATTAGCGCCGCGGCGGAAACTTAACTCCAGAAACTTGAATGGGTTTGGCATGGCAACAGCCAGCGCCGTCACGTGAGCAAAAAGGCGTGTAACAAAGCCCGCTGTGACAGGAACAAAGCCTAGTGACCTTTTCTTCAAACAGAGAGGGCAGACTTGGGTGTTCCCATGGAAACAGGGCAGTCTCTCACCTTTCCGGAGTACAGGCGGAGTTGCCAGTGGAGACGCTGGTCTCCAAGCTGTCGGAGCTCTCCAGGCTCAGGGTGTCGTACGCCTGGGTGCCGCTCGGTGGCGGCTGGTGGTGCAGGATTGAGTGATGGACCGTCGGAGATGGATCTGTGGGGGTACATGGGGAAATAGAGTTAGTTATTATAGCCTACAGCGCCCTCTGGTGGCAAGAACGCAACACATGTCAGTACACTTCAGTTTTAGTTTGACGAAGTATTGATTTTAAGTAATTTTAGAATTAGAGATACTTTCTGAATAAAAAATTATTAAATAGAACATTTTTAATCATTTATCTTTATTGCTGCCATTTTTAACGCCGTTGTAAGAAAGTCCTGGATTTAAATTTTTCTGGCGTTCTCCCTAATTGTTATGCATTTCCTAAATCCATTAATATGCTTCACAGTTTTAGTTAAATACAAAGAAAATAAATATATTCTCTCTTCCCATGTGCATGCAGGTTCTCTCTGGGTACTCCTGCAGACCATAAACAGGACCATTAGGTTAAATTATCTTCCTAAATTACCTTTATGTATGAACCAATGAAAATACAGAAGGATAGTCAATTTATTTTTATTTATTCTTTTTATTTTTCATCTCAGTTGCAACATTTAGATTCTTGTCTTAATACCATTTTGTTTCATCATTTCTTTTAACGATCCGTTTCTGTGCTTTTCATTTCTATTTTTCATCTCTTTGCCTTGTTTGTTCCCTTTTATACATAAGAAAAATATTCCCAAAATAAAAACTGATTGATTTTTATTAGTAGTGAGTGTGATAATACACTTTTCAGCCAAAACCTTAAATCGCCTGACAGAGTAAAAGCCTTGATCCCTTTACGTTTTTCTTTGCTCGTATGCATTTAATGCGCTGTGGTTCAGTCACCCACAGAGCCGCCATCTAAACTCTGACATATAACAGCTTTTATAGCAGCATAAAGAGGGCCTCCACTAAATTAAGCAGTTGGTTGTAACGTTCTTGCTGATAAATCTGTACTTTTTCCAACCCCGTTTCTACACCAGCAGTGTGACGTATGAAAGCAATAAAGCCGATGCAGCCACATAGCTTTGCGCTGCGGGTGGTTGTAATGAATCTATATTTCTTCTTAGGCACAAACTGTGTGGTTCAGGCTGGCAATTGAAAGAGGGAGTCACGTACCTTTGCACTGCAGAGCTGTTTGCTTCCTGGAGTCCATGTCTAACAGGTTTTTCTCTCTCAGCATCAACTGTAAGCCCCATGAAAGACAGAAGACGGCATCACGCTGTGAACGGCTGTTGAGGCCTGATGAGAGTTTAGAGGCATGAAACTGACCGTCGTGGTGGCATTTCTGTCATGCATGACGCCGCTGGAGAGAGAGAGGAGTGCAGTGCTGCAGATCTGAGCAGGCGATGGTCCCTGTCCAACCTCACCATCCGATTTAGACTTTAACATCTTAGAGGGAAAAAACAAAACATGTTTCTGTGTTGGGTGTTAATCGTTTTTGTTTTGTTTGCCCATCCCACTTTTGGTTTACAGGTGGAGAAATGCAACTCTGGAAAAAAATGAAGGGTCCACTGCACCGAACCTCATTGAAAACCTTAATTTTATTCCACCAAACAATGATTTCTGAACTCTTCCCGAGTTAAAACATTAGTATTGTTGTGAATGAATACGAACTTGTTTTCTTTGCATTATTTGGGTTTTGGAAGCGCTGCATCTTTTTTGTTATTTTGACCGTTTCTCGTTTAAATGCTAAATTTCTGCTTGGAATTTCAGGGACATGTTGTCAGTAGTTCATAGAAAAAAAAAAAGAACAATGTTCATTTTACTCAAACATAAAGAGTAAAATCAGAGAAACTGATCATTTTAAGTGGTCTCAATCTTTTCCAGAGCTGTAAACTTACTCTTAAATGACAAGCAGCACCAAAAGTGATTGTGTAATTACATTTTTAACCACTAGAGGGCTTCAAACATCGGTGGTCCTCCAACCTTTTCAACAGGTGCAGCTTTAGTAAACATTGAGTTGTCCAACAGCCTCCATACCGACAGAGATTGTAAAACAGTGATGCAATAAGACTTATGCATTCCCATAGTGGCCTAGTGTCAAAAATCCAAATTCTGACTGTGAAACTCAACAGAAGACAGTGGAAAAAGTTCCTGATTCCCTGTTGGCTTCAATTTCTACACTTAGCTTCAATACTGCACTTCATTTTCCAGTGGCAAACATTGATTGTGCATGAATGTATAATTTTACTTCTTGTTTATCTCTCAAACAATCATGTGTAAAAAGATAACCTGCTGTAAATCCAAGCTGCGTTTCTGATTAAGAACCACATTTCTAGGAGCAAATGAGGAGCTCGTCCTGCTTAGTGAGTAAGTGAATTTACCTGCCCATGTCTGCGTGAGGAAAAAGACTTTGCAGGCAGCGGTGGAGGACATGACTGAGAGTCTCCAGCAGCCATGATGTCCTGGTACCAGCGCTCAAGATTAATGGGAGTCATTGCATTCCTGCTCAGCTCAGCATGGCTCTGAGGTGATCACAAGCATCCAGCCAAAGATTAAGAAAAGCAAACCACAGTGCAACAGCTCAAAAAAAAAAAGATATTTAGACAACATTCAGCTGTGAGAAAGAATGGAGAGCGGTGACAAATACGCTTCTAGAAGGAACAAACCTGTGCAGAAAGAAAGGAGGAAGGACCACATGCAGCTGAGTGGCACGTGAAGGAGGATTCGGATGAGGCAAGCTGGAATGATGGAGTAGAGGTGGAAGAGGAAGGCCTAGATCTCTGCATCCCAAAGATCTGGCTTAGCTGACTCACTGTGATGTAGTCCTTTGCAGGGATACAGAGAAATGCAGCATACATTTGCATAACAAAAAGGGGGAGCAGAGTGTGGAAAAAAGTGTCAGAAGGAGCATCTATTCAAACATTTAGGTCTTTCGTTATTGGGCAATTCATAGAAAAGTGCAGAAATGCAGAATACCTCGCACGGCAGAGCTGGAGATACAGTAAGAGAGAGGCAGTGGAGAGCAGCGGGGGAGGAGGAATAAGGATCTCCGTACATCCGATAGACATCAGACAGCCTGAGATACTCCTGCACGAACAGCCACAGCACAGGCACAACAGGGCTGAGGACAGACCCACACTGACAGGCGCCCAGAGATTTCACAAAACTTAACAACAATGCAACTCGCCTCTGTATTTGAAATTACACTGTCACTCAAAACTCATGTCCCTTAAACGTTTCTATAACTTTTAAGCCAGTGTTTCTCAACCCTTGTCCTCTGCGCCCCCCTGCTCTGCATGTTTTAGATGTGCCTCTATTCCAGAACAGCTGATTCAAATGATTGCATGATCATCAAGTACTGCAGAAGCCTGTTAACCACCCAGAGATGCAATTCAGGTGTGTAGCAGAAGGGAAAAACCTAAAACATCCAGGACAGGGGAGCGGTGAGGACCAGGGTTGAGAAACACTGTTTTAAGCAATTCATAGAAATATCAAAATATCAACTTATTTTATTGGGATTGTAGTGATAGAGCAACACAAAATAGAGCAAAATTGAAAAAAATAAAACAAAACATGGAATTTCTTCTATGAGATCAATAAGCAGTGGCATGTGCGTTTGCATTCAGCTCTTCTGTTGCTGTTGTACTATATTTCACTTCAATGAGGTATCTGTGTTTCTGATATTGCTTTGCAAAATAGGTCATTCTCAGTCAGACTGCATGGAGAGCCTTTAAGCATCCAATCTAGACAGTGGACCAATCAGAAAGCAGGAAAATAGTTTGATCAAAGTCGTTCCATTGCAGCTTTGGCTTCATGTTTGGGGTTGTTCCATGTGTTTTCCAGCAATTAAAGGATTGCTCAGTATTTATCCACATCCATTTTCTATGCACTCAGCTCTGACCAGCTTCCCACAGCATCATACTGCCAGTACAGCACTTCACTGTGGAGATTGAGCATTCAGGAAGATGTGCAGCGTTAGTTCTGAACATAGCATTTAAATTTAGCAAAAAGTATAATTTTGATCCACTGCATGCCTTGTGGCAAACTGTAATCCTGATGTCTTATGCATTTCTTTCAAAAACAGCGTTGAAATAAATGCCATTCTTCCATATGGACAACAAACTAAACACTCTTTGGTCCAAGAGGAATAACTCAAATAATCAATAACACTCATCATAATCGATAATACTTGCTCCTTCTGCCACCTTGTGTCTCTTGGCTGCTTCTTCAGTTAATTTTCAGATCTTTCTCACTCAGCCTGGAGTTGTGATACAACAGATTTCAGATGATAAACTGAACGGTGCTCAAAGTTTTGGGATTTTAACCTAAATCTGGCTTATTCTCCAGAACTTTATCCCTGATTTGTTCGGCGTAATTCTTAACTTCTGCAGCCAGATGTTTGAGGTGAACTTTATTTAGGGGCAGCATGGAGCTAATACAAATGCAAGCCACACTTTTAAGATTTTCATTTGCCAAAGACTTATTTGAAAATGACAAAAAGGTTTAAGGGATATGAATACTTTTGCAAGGGACCGAAATCCTAAAAAAAAAAAACACACACACACATTTTGAGACAAATTAAATCTTAAACATTAAAGAAAATCAAACCTTCCAGCACACACTGCAAGCCAGTTATTGTCTTTAACATTATGTTAACGCACAACATGCCCTGACGTTACTGGGGTTTCTGTGAAACTGGGACGTCCTCAGAGTTACCTCTTGCAGCCTGACAGGACAGAGCTCAGGGGAGGGGTTGTGAGAAGAGGAGGGACAGGGGCTATGAGGAGGACCGTCCTCAGAAACAAGGTCAGGCTCACTGATGTGAAGCGATTCCTGTTCAAAAGGTTTACCCGAGTCAACAAAACAATCCACTTGTGCGGCAGGTAATTGTTGTCCAGCTGAGCTGTGGTTTGGTGGTCTGGTGTCTCACATGTACCTGCTCACCTCTTTCATGCTGCCGGAGGACTTTGGGAAGTTTCTTCCTCCAGTCAGGGTGTGGTACCGCTTCTCAAGGCTGCACAGTGTGTCTTGCTCCTGGGAGGAGGATCCAATAAGCTCTTACCATGTCAGCCCAATGCATTTCCTTTAGACTATTAATTAACTACTAATTTCTGATGCAGAATTAAGGATTTGTATCAGTCAGAGTAGTTCTCCTTTATCCCCACCTTGTGTAGAAGCTGCAGTGCTGCTGTCCGGTCTTTTGCGATTTTCTCGCAGTCGTGGGAAGCCTGCATCCCCAGCTGCTTCACCTGAGCTTCCAGAGCAGCCATCCGCTCCTGTTAATTCAGATGTTTCTTCACTTTGTGAGAAGATTCTACCAGTCTAAAGTTTACACACACATATTTTCAACCATTATTTGTTTCATACATAAACGGCTGATTATACAACATAAAAATCCAGTGGTTTTAAAAAACAAGAAGTGGATGCACAAGCTTGAAGACCCAGCCTTTAAATTAGACATACTGACTCAAATATTCAAACACAACCCAGTAGAACTTTGTCTCTTAGCAAGCTGCCATCAACAAGTTTTAGGCATAATTTTTTACTTGATTTTTGACATTTCTTATGAGAAACTGAAGAGCTTGTTTAACTTGGTTAGTTACCCGGCTCAGACTGAATTTTTGAGCATATTCCATAAACACGTTTAATGTTAGATTTGTTCCTGAAGCTTTTCCAACTTTTCTAAATGCTCCAAAACCGTGACGTCTTCCAGCCACCCCGCTGTTGATTTGAGGTTAAAGTTTGAGTTTAAATTCCCTTCACTTGATACAATGACCGAGCCACTCAGCATGATGCCACCTCTGCCATGCTTGGCAGTTAGTTCAGCTTCCTTAGGTTTGAAAGCCTCACCTTTACTCCTTCAAACACACTTCTTAGCTTTGCCTAAATAGCTCAGTCTTTGTTCCAGCTCACATTCAAACTTATGCATCCAGTTCCTGCAACGAAAATTAACCAAAGTTTTATGTTGCTGAAAATAATAACCGTTCAACTGCATCACTAAGAGATAAAAAATAATGACCCTCATTTTGATGAGTGTGTGTAAACTTATGTTTTTTTCCCTGCTACACGCCGCATGTGCCCCACCTTCCTGCTGGCGACACTGCTGTGATACTCGGCTCGCTCCTGGATCAGCTGCGAGCAGCGGGCCTCCTTCCTCTCCTCTAGGCGGCTCTCCTCCTCCAGCTGGCAAAACTCCAGCTCCTCAAACTGCTTGGTCCCACACTCCAGAGCCTCGGCTTTCTGTCCACATAACAGTCCAGATGAAGCATGCTGTTTAAAACCAAGCAGGCACGAAGAGAAAAAGAAAGTAAAATGAAGTAAAAGATTAAAAACAGTAACTGGCCTCGTCTGTGCGTGCGGTAATTCATGAAAACCCTGTTAAACGATGGAATCAGCTCTGCTATAGGACGTTCACATCATAAAAATTACATTTCAGTATTTATTTAACTCTGTGCAAACCTCCTCAGACTATGAGGTTGCTACGTACATTGTCTCAAGTTATTAAGAATAAGTATTGGGGGATAAGATGCTACTTTTCTTAAAGAGGAAACTGATTTTTGTCGGATAAAAAATGTAATTTTTGTAGTAGGAACTTTCATTTCCAGATTTAAATAGAAAAAATGGGATTAGACATCAATATTTAAACAGTTCTAGGTAAAGAATTAAATACCACATGGACGGTCAAATTATTATTTTTTTACAAGACTGAATCAAATTCTATATAAAGAAACGAGACAATAACGTTGTTGCCGTGACGAGAAAGTGCCGAACACAATCCCACAAATTCTTACCATTTAATTTTACTTGGAAAAAAAAGAAAAAGATAATTAAACCAATAAAATGTCAGACTGTTCAGCTGTTAAAGAAAATAGCTTTTTTTTTATTTAATACCCCAGTAATAAATAAAAGAGAGCTTAATGAATATCTTCTAAAAGAAGTGATTCCATATGTTTGCAGACTTGAAACCAATAAATCTGACGAGTTGTTTTAAAAAGGTTGTTGATTCAAGTTATTGTCAGTAAATGCATGCACACTTTTTTTCTTTTAGAGCAAAGCTGTTAATAACATTAGTGCTTGTTAAAAATACTACAGATGCCACTGAAAAACCATAAAAAAAGGGGAACTGCAGTAGCTGGGACACCAAACTTCAGCTGTAAACACATTGGTGGCTGTTTTAAAAAAAAAAAAAAAAAAAAAACTGACCTCCTTTGACAAACCCCACATGTTCATGCGGCAGAACATCTAAAATTAAATTGCCCATTTTTCCCCAAGTAGCTCTGAGTGCTCCGAGGGCGATACAGTGTTAGATCTGTGATTATTTCTGTGCAGGTAAAACGGTACTGTAGCGCTCAGGAGAGCATAACTCACTGTTCCCAGCCACGAGAACACTGACCCTGCTGAGCGGCTCCTGTAACTGTTCCCTTAGAGACAAGGGGCACATATCAAACTGCCTCTTCAGCTCATTGTACTCATTCCTCTGCTTTTCCAGGGCCTTCCGCTCAGCCGACACATTAGCTCTGCCCTAAAAACACACAAAGACAGACACACCCATACACCCACACGCACGTTCACACACAACCGTGCCCACATACCAGGGAGAAAAAAAAAAAAATCAGGGGCAACTAAAAATCCATGCATCTAAAGCAGATTAGTGTAAGGCAGTTTGTTTGGGTTTTTTTTTTTAAGGAGGCAGGAGTTAGAGGTTGTAAACGTGTAGCTCTGTTAAACTGGGAGACGGGTAAAGCAGCTTCTGTAAACCAGTGCAGCACTTCGAGATGAGCGGCAGAATTTCTGCCGTTTGTTTGCTGTGCTGCGCGGTTTACTGAGCAGTCGGCGGATAATAACAGTGCCTTGCAAAATTAGTTTTACCTTGTGAACTTCCAACATTTGTGTCATGGCACAACCACAAACTTTGAAATGTTTTATTGAGACATAACATATCTGAGAAATCTGCTGTGCATTTGATGGAGAGGATCTGTGATCATACATTTTTGAGACAGATTGTCACTGGATTTTGATTTCCTTTGCAACACACAAAAATGGTGGTATCTAATTGTCTCTCTGAGATTGTGTGTTTGTGTTTAAGGTTAATGTTTTGCTGTATGATGTGTACAGTTTTCCCACACAATCTTAGATTTTGCAGTGGGTTTTTTTTCCCCATCATGCTTCTTCCATAATGTTCTCCAAAAAACCTCTGACACCTTCACAACATATCTGGATTCATACTGAGATTAGATTACACCAGTTGCCCCTATTTATTAATTAAAATACCACTCACATTCCCAATAAAATACACTAAAGTTTGTTGTTGTGACAAAATATGTTAGTGTTTAAAGATCACCAATGCTTTTGCAAGGCACTGCTGAGCTGATTATGTCTGCTGAGAGCTCAAAATTTGTCCATAAAGAAATGTTTCACATATTCGACCCAGCGAAAGAAATAACATTTGCATGCATTTGACCAGCGTTTGTTGGTGATCTGACAGGCTTAATGGGTCACACTCTCACCTTGTCCTTCTCTTTCTGAGTGGCCTTGTCCAGCTGGCTGAGTTTGAGCTGCAGCTGAGCAATGATTTCATTTTCAGCCTCCACCTGCTCCTGCTCTGCCCGCCGCTCGGCCTGCAGCAGGGCCTGCTCCATCTCCACCTACAGGCAAACGCAGCAGCAGAGTCTCATTGAAGACTAAACATACAAGATAACTAAATAAAAATTTAATTAGGTGCACAGTTGTGCTCTTATCCTCAAAATTACGCATGCACCTCCACTAATATTTGGTGAAACAACTCTTCCTAACAGAAATGGTAGAGAACAAATGTCACTTGCTTGGATTACAGAGAATCCACTGAGCATTTAATCTTGAGCTCCCAATTTTTAACTCCACATAGGGGAAAAAACTGTTGAGACTGATAATTAAAAGCTCCACATAAATGTGGCCGTCATGTCAACAAGGAGCACTTCTGACCTAAGTTGTGCATTTATATGAAGGTCAGTAAGTGTGCGTGTGCTGACCTCCTGTTTGGTCTCTTGTAGCTGCTGTTCCAGTTCACCAACTCTGTACTTCAAGTCATCAACCCGAACCAAGACCCTCTTCCTCTCCTCCTCCAGGTAGACCTGCTCCTGTCCAGCAAACAGCTCCTCACACTGAGTGATAAAAAAAATAAAAAAAAATAATCAAATATCCAGATATTCACGATATCCTGAACACAGCGTGCGGACGTGTTTCACCTCTTGATGTGTGCTCTCTGTGCTGCTGGACTCCTCCCTCTGGATTTCCTCATCGTTCTCCCCCGCTCTCTGGGCTCGGTGTGCTCCCGTTAGAGGCGTCCCCCGTCCAGAGTCTGGGTCCGCTCCTCTAGCACCCCCACGCAGCCCGCTCCTCACCAGCTCTGCGGCGCCGTCTTCCTGATTAAACTCTGCACACAGATTCAGGATGGTCTCCAGTCTCTGCCGCTCCTGTAGGAGAAATGGGAGTCGTGAGCAAACGCTGAGCGATATTCCAGATCACACAGCGGATTAAACGCGTTTGTCCTTGGGTGACATTGTCCCATTTAGGCAGCTGTCACTTAACCACAGGCACGGGGGGGACGTCTGTAACCCGATAGTAGGTCCACTCTCAGGAGGGGCCTCCCAGTAAAACCTTACTGGTGGAGTTTTGCAGGAAATTGTAACAAAGAAAAAAAACAACAGTCTTTAAATTAATATTCTTATTTTTCTTTTGCTATTCACCACATATATTGTTCTCTACTGCTCGTCTCTCATTGTGCTACACAATGGGACTCCTGCTTTAATTTACTGGTGAGAGATGCAGTCATCACTTCAACCTGACATTAATTAGAGGCCTGGTATAAGAATACAAGTCTGGCTGTTTTTATAGCTCACGTTAATTTGCCCTATAAATTAGTCCGACAGTAACAAAACACACACAGACACTGGTTAGTGCTTTAGCTTTAAAACAAGCAGACATGATAAGAGTGATTTTAAAATGTTTTAAAAGTTCTAGGAGAGAACAAGGCAACACACAGAAACTTTAATACATTGGATCATCACAGCTTGTGTTTGGAGTTTTAATTCAAAAAGAGCTTCCGAGAAAATAAAGCTGAAATGAAAAAGCCGCTTCTTCTCTTCTGGTTATTCTGCTTCTCTCTTACGGTGAGATAATTGCTTGGTATTGATTTTTAGAGTGCAGAGTCAACCACAAGAGTAAAGTTGGATGAAAAACAGTAAAGCAGTCAGAAGGTCAGATATTGGGAATTCATCTTGCTGAGAGGAAATCCTTTCTTTGTTTCTTTCTGGAGGTCAAGAGCCTGTGCGCTTTGGGTGTTTAAAATCTTAAAAACCGTTAAAAATACTAAAATGTATTGTTTGTCCTTTGACAGATGCTTGGTTATTAAATGAACAGGAACAGTAAAATAAAGCACACTCTCTTCAAATTCCAAGTATTTTCTTATTTTGTTTGAACACAGAGAATTAACAACGGGCGTCGTTTTTTATAATAACTGAAGCATTCTCACTTCCACTTGAAAACCATTACATTAGCAACAAAAAGAAGCCAAAACATGCCCAGCTCTCACATAGTTTACATTACAGCTTATAGTTCATAATTTTTGGTCTTGCTTTATCTTCTTGCTAACTCTTTGGATTCAGGCTCGTATAATTTAGTAAGTGCAAAAAATATGAAAAACACAAGGCAACAAGTTTTAGTTTGTTTATTGTGCTGATTGCAGTCGGGTAGAAAGTGTTCCTGAGTGAGAAGACCTGACAACTCTGTAGAGATTTCCAGATTATAAGTCATTAATGATGTCATGTGCTTCCTTAATTACTTAATTCAAAGCCTTTATGTCTGCAGCTGTGCAGCCGGGACACCATGTTGACGTGCAGAAAGTGATCCATTACAGGATGGATCCTGGCTTTTATGCTGGAAATAGTCAGCTTAGCCTGTTGTTTAGGCAGTTACAATTGCATATCTTTACTAGACACAGTTCAGTTTTATTTACAGAGTCCCAAATTACATCAAAAGCCACACCAAGTCACTACTGAAGGCTCCAATTCATTTTCACATCTGAAACATAATACGACAGCATGGAAGTGGTGACTTATACTGTCTGAAAAGTTCATAAAACCGTGAAAGAATTTTATTCGTTGGTTTAAAAAATATATACCAGAAGCTAAAGAGATGTCAAGTTTTGTCTATTTCAGGCTCTGGAAGGATCAAGGTTTGTCCACAAATCATTTAATCCACAGTGTTGCCTCTTTTTTTGGTTGCCAGAGATCATTTGGTCCCTGAAACAGTCTCTGGACACATAAGTCCCGGCAGCGACCACCCACCTCTGCGATCATGTCAGCTGCCAGTGGGCAGGACCGGGTGGGAGCCGAACTGCCGGCTGAAGGGTGATGAGAAAAGACTGTGAGTGCTTGACTGACGATAAATAACACACACAGAGTCTATGATCTAGTGTGGGAATAAAGAAGAAAGAGTCCCGCGTGAAGGGGAGGCAGCTTTGAAAGCAGATGCCGCTCATCTTTCCGGTAAATATAGTGTTGGGCAACAACCAGCCGCACCCGCTGCACCGGACCCTGAGACGTCTATAAGAATGCCCCCCGGGTCCGCTGTCACCAAAGCCACATGGGCCGCCGATGCCAGCAATGTTTGGAGGAGAGATTAATTACTGGCTGAGCGCCAGAGAATTTGGAAAAGATATGAAAGTAGATTGCTATGCCAGGATCACTAAATCTCTTCTCTGAACTGTTTGTCTCATTTACAGTCTTGTTCATTTGTAAATTTGTCCTGTAGTGCCATGAACCAACCAATGAGCTAAATGAAATACTCAACAGGTTTTTATCAAAAGCAATATTTTATATCTCTCCAAGCCTCTCCCTGTCAGAAATTTGACTCTAGTAGCAACTCATGGAGAGAAATGAAAGAATAAACTCCAACCAAAAAGACGAGGCAGCTGGTTATACAGTGTTCGGCAGCTC